TGCATTGTTTTAAAACGTTGTTGTAATTTACTAAATGTACTTTCATCAAAGATTTTATTAATTCGTCTAGCTCGAAAAACGGGTAAATGAAAATTAAATTGACAAAGTAATGGTAAATGTACGGATATAATTGATGAAAGCCAATCAAATTCAAAAAGATATTGTAGATTTCTCATATGATATGTTGTTACATGAATACTAAGATGTTCAAGATTAGGTACACATAATAAATATTCATTTAATATTCCAACATGTGAAATAGGTCCTATGTATTTTTCTTTAATAACTAAACGTTTAAGATTTTCATGATTTACATATTGTGGTAGAACAGTTAATGTTTGTAGAACTTTTTCTTCGAGAAAATAAAAAAAATTTAAATTTGGACATGCTGATAGAATACCAATATAAGTAAATAAACCAATATGTCCAACTTTTAAAATACGTAATGATAATAATTTTGTCCAACGTTCAGTCTTTTGAATTGTTGATGTTATTGGTAATGAACAAAATTTTAAACATGGAAAACTATTCGAAAATATTGGTTCATGTAAACGATATATTGAAAAAACAGAAAAAGAACCTTTCAAAATAATTGAAAGATATTCTAAATGAGGAAGAATAATAGTTTCAAGTTTATATGGTCTCGTATATGGTAAACAAATCAAAATAAGACGACGAATTGTTGTATAATGATTAAGTATAACATCAGTTTTATATTTAACAATTAATGTATTAACATAAGGAAGAAATATTGTATCATCAATTACTTCATCACGATCACGTATCGAAAGAATAAGACAAATTTCATTAAGAGATTGTAAAAGTTCATTAAAACGTGAATTAAGATTATAAAAAGCTCGAAAAAGATCTCGTGCATCGAGATATTCGAAAGTTTCTATTAAAATTTCATTTGGTAATGATTCCAACAGGAATTGATTATCGCTCATTTTGAATATGTTTATCTACAATAAAATAAAAAATAATATATTAACCTAAAATAATCTCGAAACAAAGTTATTAATTAGTGTATTTTAAGTTATTCGAAAATATGTTTATTAATTCATAATACCTGAATTCATTAGATTGACTTTTTTGTTCTGACCCATGATAAACTGATAGGTATTTTGATCTTTATGTTTTTACTTAAAAATTTCCTTTGAATGGTAATATATATGTTTTTATGATTCAATATTATACATGTTATTTTAATCTAAAAGTGAAAATGATAATGATTGTTCTATGTTATAAAAATCTATTCGAAATAATAGAGAATAATAGCTTTGATTTTGTCTAAGAGAGTAGTGGGAAATTAAAACTCAATAAGACAATAAATATTCAGAAAATTATTGAATTTAATTTTACTGCTTTTCTTAATCATTCGAATATGAATGAATCTTTACGAATATTAATAAACTTACCACGGCTTCGGGAGAACATATTCTCGATAATACTATTAGCTATTGTTTTCTCATTCCAAAACCTTAAATAAAATTTTAATTTACTTTAAAAAAAAAAAATATCTAACGATGATCAATTATTGATGTATACCAATCACACTTCAACAGTTCATGATTTGGCACATACAATAGATGAATATTACTTAGATCGTTCCTTTTCCAAGATTACTTTTCATCTTCAAATTTGACTTTCATTCATTTAAGATGTTAGACAATAAAATATTCATGAATTGGTTCAAATTAATTTTCATTTAATTACGTTAATCTGCAAGAAAAAAAACAAAAGTTATTTCACCTGATGTCAAAAGAAAAATTTTGTTCAAATGGACAAATATTTAAATATTATTACCATAGCAATATAATGGGAAAATGAATAGTATTTATCTCATAATGAAGAAATCATCTTTCAGATGTTCAGATCAATGACTAGGAGACGACTCAATGTCCACATCGCCTGAAAAATATGTAAGGGTATGTTAGTAGCAGAAGTTGGAGCGACTATCAACCTTACGAGAGAACATTTTCAACTGGCCGACTAATCGCTTCATTCTAGTATCGTATTTTCATCGAGATTTTTCTGTTAAAATAATGTAGAAACTTAAGAATATAATTATTCAATAATAAGTCAAGTATGATATCGATTATTATGAACATAATGAAAATTTTCTATTATTTGTTTAAGAATATTTTTTATATGAGGTCCAATTTGTATTATTAAGTTGAAAAACATGAAAATAACAATTAAATCGTTTAAATAACCGTAAATGAATCTGAATTATTGTTATATTATCTTTTCGATGAATACTTAATTTTTCTAAATTAGGTAAACATAAAAATAAATTCTTAAAGACAGATAAATTCTCGTTTTCAGATAAATCATTATATCCAATTTTTATAACAGAAAATATTAACGATTATTGTCATTCTTCAATTGACCGAATTGTTTCATAATCGGAAATATCATAAGATTTAAGATTAAAAAAATTATTTGGAATAACTATTTTATTCATATAAGGAATTATAAATGTTGGACCAGCATATTTTATAAATAAATGTTCGAGATTATGTAAGATACTAATATTGAATTGTTTCAATAAATTATTAATTGGATGAATTAATATAAGATGATGTATATTTGAAAATAAATGAAGATTTATATTAATTGATTCATTTTATAAATATTCAAAACAAAATTGATTCCTTTATATAAAAGAAATTAATCTGGAAAAAGAAAGTTATTGTATCTTCTACAAGAATTTTTCACGATGAAAATAATTGTTAGTTTCTCAAGTAAATGTTCTCTGAAGTAAACGATTCTCTAAAAAAAAAAATAATATCTCATCTAGTTCTCTATGACCTTTTTTGTCCAAGATGTATATCAATCTTATCGACGACACAAAAATAGTATTTCTATACGAAATAAAAGGAAAAAAAAACAATTATGGTGTTCTTTATAAGATGGATATAATATCTCGATCAAAAAAGGTCATAGAGAACAAAAAGAGAAATATTGTTTACTCTGTCATATTAACTAATTTAAACAAAATTCTAATAGCTGAAAACTTTGGCTTTTCAAATATCATTTTTATCATGAAAAATTCATGTTGAAAATACAATTTCTTACATAACTATTTAGATTTTTCGTAGTGTTTATATTAGTGTAAAAAAGTTAAAAATACACATAGTTGAATCCTTTCTGGATTCGTTGTATACAGGGTATAACAAAATTATAGCCCCGCTTTTATCGCTGAGATTTTTCAATGAAGACGAATAGTTAGATCAAATCTAAATAGTGATTTCGATAGCCCTTCAAGTTCTCTATCGAAAACAGTATAGATCAAAATCCCCAAAAAACTTTCCTTAGAAAGTTTTACAAAAAACCGAAGTGCTCCAAAATCAAGTGCCTCTGGCACTTGAGAAAAACATTTCAAAATATAGTCATCCGAAAGAGCAAAAAATTCTGAGCAAAATGAGGGGTCGCCCAGTTCTCCACGATGGTTTCTTATAAAGTTATAAGCATCAGAAAAGTGAAAAAAAGTGTTTTCAGTAGAGACCAGCGGGTCTGTCCGGGTTCGGGTCCGGGTCCATATGTGATTTACTTTCAGACCCGGTTTGTATTCAGCTAAAAATATAAATATTGAAGGGCTCAGGTCAACGTATAATATTTTCTATATTCTGTTTCCAAATTTCTTGGCTATTTTTCATATTGTATTTAACAAGTCATTTGACATACAAATAACAAATGAAGTTGAAAAAAAATAGACGAATGTGAATAACATGTTTTGATTACACCTAAATATATAGTACTTATTTCATCATAAACAAAATTAATATTTCGTTTTTATTCTTGTTCATCGTCTTCAATAGATATATCACTATTTTTATGAATAATATCTTCATCACTAAACAGATCGTCGCCAAAAGTTCGAATCTTCTTGCTTCTCGATGGCAACTGTTCTTGCAACCAATAGTCAGCTTAAACCATGAGCCTTCACTTGTTCATATATACAGAGGGTGCTAGATATTGGCGAAACACTTAACGGGTCTGGACCCGACCGGGTCCGAGCCCGAATATATCAAGTCCGGGTCCGGGTCCATAAAAATCTGGACCCGCTGCTCTCTAGTTTTTAGGCTATTTTTTTAGCGCTTTTTGATGAATTTTAAAGTTTTTTCACTTTTCTGATGCTTATAACTTTATAAGAAAACATCGTGGAGAACTGGGCGACCCCTCATTTTGCTCAAAAGTTTTTGCTCTTTCGGATGACTATATTTTGAAGCGTTTCTCTAAAGTGCCAGAGGCACTTGATTTTGGAGCACTTCGGTTTTTTGTAAAACTTTCTAAGGAAAGTTTTTTTGGGGATTTTGATCTATACTGTTTTCGATAGAGAACTTCAAGGGCTATCGAAATCAGTATTTAGATTTGATCTAACTATTCGTCTTCATTGAAAAATCTCAACGACAAAAGGGGGGGGGGGCTATAATTTTGTTATACCCTGTATATGTAGATTTATCTATCAAAATATATTTTATTAACATAAAGAAGAATATTATTTAGTTGGAAGTAGAAAATTGATTGTACCAAATATTTAAATTTGGACGAAATCATATGCAATGAAATTAGACTAACATTAGTAAATTGTTGAAAGTAATGATTTAATGATAATGAACCAATCATGCTTGTATGATTTTTAAATACGACATGAATAAAACAGACAAATTCTAAATGACGGATTCATTTTGTTTACTAATCTATGAATGAAAAAATTCAATGAAAACTAAAATAATATTCATTAATTTTTTAAACGTAACTAACTTGATTGTAATTTCTATCAATATTAATTTTACTTCAAGGAAAAAAAAATTTCTCAATCATTTTAGACTTTTCTATTAATCATCAAATGAGCGCTCGCTTTGATCGAAGTTCCCTCGTGAGCTGTCAGAACAATTTTTGAGAAAGACATTATTCGAAACTGAATTTTTAAGTGGAATCTCTGATCGATCCTTAATCTCAAACTTATTTCAATAAAAAATTTTTTGAAAATTTTACCATAAAAATGAACATTCTATAATTAATTGCGATTGACATTGACCATTGTGTACTTGCAGAAAAGTTTCTTTTAATTGATTAATAATTTTTTCTGTATTAAGTTTATTTATATTTTTTGGTTGGGAAGTACGTAGATAAAAATAAAAACGATGAAGCTTTAGTAAATGAATAGATATAATTGATATAAGCCAATCATAATTTAGAAAAGAATCTCTTATTCTTGAAATATATAATAAACGATGAACATTAAAATGTTCAAGATTAGGTACACACGATAAATAACAATTAAATAAATGATCATTCCAAGGCCAAATAACATCGCCAACTTTGATTATTAATCTTTTAAGATTATTATGTTTTGGAATATTTAATAAACATTCTTCGGAAGTAAATATACATAATTTAAAATAATATAAATTAGGACAACCAGATAGAATTGTTTGATACATCGATAAATTAATAAATCGAACTTTTAAAATACGAAGTATCGGTAAAGATAATGATGCATTATTTGTTGATAATGTTTCTAAATAAGAGGAAATATTAAACACTTCACTATGTATATGAACAATAATCGAAGTATTTTCAGGTTTGGACATTGTTGAACATCGTTAACTCTCTTTTCGGATGTTTGTATTCCTTTAGTTTTCAGATAATTTATTTTATTATGTGTTGACTTATTACAGTTGATTCTGGAATCTACTCTATTGTATTAATTAATTGAAAGTGACTGAACCAGAATACAAACGATTCAGGTTCAGTGCATTCTTAATAAACAATTTTGTACTGAAATTATATTAATACAATATTCTATGTACGAGATGATTAGTCATTCACCTAACTAATTAATACTTTTCTTTCGATCCTATTCTAGTGGAAAATTTCAATAAGAAGAATATAAACGATTAAATATGTGTGTATATACTATGGAGATAATTGTTTCAAGTATACAGACAGTGGTTGATGATCATTTTAAGTTCTATATTGATAATATATGTCATACACTCAAAATATTTCAATAGAATATTTGCCTGAAAATAAAAGTATTCTATACTCAAGCATTTGTTTTAAACCAATATTAAGATATATCAAACTAACTGTATGAACATTTTAAGGTAATTACTATCAGTCTCAGAGCTCAAGATACTTAAATTTTTTTTTGAATCACTTAAGCGAAATGTAAGATGATTTTTAGCAATCGATCATCAAAACTTCAAAGCATCTTTTCATAAATACTAACCTATTGATTTTCTATTTCGTAGGTATATAATCATGGGTGTGTTCTAAAGAATTAAATTTAAGCAAAATTTCATTTTTGTTGATCTGCAAACAGAAGTTTTGACTATCGATTGTTAAAAAACATATGTCATGATCTTGCATTTTGCATGAGTTATTGAAAAAAAAATAATCGAATACCTTGGTCTCTCGCGCCGAGTGTAATAATTATCAATAAATTCAATACCTATATATACTAAATTGAGTTCTTCTAAATAAGGAAGGACGTTCGTACAAAGTTGTACAAGTTCTTTTGCTGAAAACCATTCGAATTTAAGACGGTGAACATTTGGAAATTGATTAAGATTAACATCCACATTAGAATCAACAATAAGAGTATAAACACATAAAGGAAATATATGATTATCATTGATAAGATTCTTATTCGATCTCTTCAAATAAAAAACAAGTTTTAGATTATTAAAAGATTGAATTAATTGATTGAGACGAATATTAAGATTATAAAATGCTTGAAAAAGATCTTGACCATTGAAATATCGAAATAATTCAATTAAAATTTCATTTGGTAATAATTCCAATTGAGATACATAATCATTCATATTTCAAATAATTAACTAAAAAAATAGAATAAAATAACAATTAAATAATTTTAATCGATTAAAAGCAAAAAAAGAAAAACAAGTGTAAGAAAGATTTTCATGTTACTCTTCCACAAATTGAATTCGAGATTGATATCGATCTTTATGTAGATATATAAAATGTTCTTTTAAAGTACAAAAAATATTTTCTCTATAACATTTAGTTAATTGTTTACTACTATAAATATGTAGAATAAAATTAAATTGACGAAGTAAATACAAACAACGAATAATTATTGATGCAAGCCAATCATAATTTAAATATTGTGTTATTTTTTTAAAGAAATTCCTTCGATGAATTTTTTAATTTTTCAAGTTTTGGTACACATATAAGATAATCATTTATAAATCTATCATTCCAAGGAAATGATTGATTGTCATCTTTAATAACTAATTATTTTAAATTAGAATGTAATTCAGTATTTGATAATAATTGATCACCTTGAAATATTTTTAATTGAAAAAAATATAAATTTGGACATGCTAAAAGAATAGTTCTATAAACAAATATATCAATTTGTCCAACTTTTAAAATATATAATGATAATGATTGTTGCCAATTTTGTATTGGCATTTCAACTTTCATTTCAAATAGATTACAAGATTTTAAATAAGGAAAATAATTTGAAAAAATTCTTGGATATAAATCAATGATTAAAGATTGAATTTTTGATGTTAAAAATTTATGAGCTATTGAAAGATGTTCAATATGAGGTAATGAATAATGATTGAGTTGTTCGAATATTTTTTCTTTTGGATTACGTAACATAAGACGACGAAGTTTTTTAAAATATTTAAGATCAAAATTAATTCCACGATCAATAATTAATGTTTGAATATAAATAAAATATTCTTCATAATTATTTTTTTTCATTTGAATCAAATAATGAAATAGTAAGTTGTAAATAATCAAAAGATTAAAGAAGTTTTTTAAAACGATAATTAATATTATAAAAAGATTGAAAAATTTCACGCGTATTCAAATATTTATATATATCAATGATCAATTCATTTGCTAGATCTTCAAATCGAGATGAACATTTTTCCATTTTCATATAAAAACTAATCTACAATTGAAATTAAATATTTTCTATAACATCTAGTCAAATAAATCGAAATTATATTGATGATTATGAACATATAATGTGATCTCTACGTATCTAACTATTTTAGTCTGCTATGGCTCGACGATTAAGCTATTCCTCACATGCTCCAAGAGACTATTCAAATTTTGACGCCATCAGCTCTGATCGGGCACTACGATGTCTACAGCGAGCTCAAGCAATTAAGGGTACCCTCCCCCCTCTTTTTCGATCAAAAACTCGATTTCGAGTTGAGCATAAAATACCATAGCGTCAAGTGTTGTGTACAATTAGATACCTTAAGCGGCTCTAAATACCCTACTATTACAGAGTTACTGAATTAAACAAATTTTTTTTTCATAGTAATCATAAGGAAATTTTTTTCTTTTCCTTAGCGTATCTCAAAACCACGATTTTCTTGATCTTGGTTGCTTACGATCCCTCCCTCTAACTTTGTTCGATCGGGCTGAAATTTTTACCACTAATACTTGTGAGTATTCCCCAGAGGTAAAATCGAGCGTTTTCGTTTTTGATGTTCCTACTCGGAGTTACAGGCTCGCGAATGCCAACATCCGAAGCACAAACTCAAGTCTTGGCGTATTTTTCTTATAAAAGAAAAAGGAAGTGAGATTTTTGGAAATCCTTAAATTTACCTCTGAGGAATAGTGTTAAGTATCTATAAACAAAATTTCAGCCCAATCGGACAAAATTTAAGGAGGGTCGTAATATATCAGGATGCGGACCTCTGGAAAACCAGAGTTTTCCTGAAAACCC